GGAGGGGCTCGCTGGGCCGAGCGGAGGCGGGCCAGGCGGGAGCGGGGCGCAGGGCGCGCGCGGGGCTGCGAGCGCGCGGCGGCCTCACCTTGGACACCATTTTCTTGAGCTGGCTCTCCGACACCGCCATGGCGGCCGCCTCGTGACTCCCGTCCCCACAGGCAGAGGCTCAGCCGCTCCCGGGCTGCCCCAGGTCGCCCCACACAATCGCGCACACAGTAGCCAGCCCCCCACCCCCCCGCCTCTAGCAACAGGAAGTCCACGGCGATCCGTGACTTCCGTTTCCTGTACGTCACTTCCGAGGCCGCCTTCCCGAGAGGCGTGACCGAGACTGGGGATTGGCGCCCACCTTGGGGTGGGCTGGGTGTCCGACCTACACTTTGCCCTCGGGTGCCAGACGTGGCGACCGGGATGGGCAAGGGTCGGAATTCTGGGCCCGGATAAAATTAGGTCATTCAAAGCTGCCCTTAGACCGAGACAGGTATAGTGGGGGGAAGAAGTGTGAAAGGCTACCGAGTGAACTGTAGTTGTTGACGCATCAAGTGGGAGGACCGAAAGCGAAGGGACAGTGCACAGCTTTGGTTTCACATGAGTCCAGACAGTACTTTCTGCGCTAGGAAGAAATTAAGTTAGGACTTATGCCTAAGCATAAATGATAGTACAGACTGCATTTTACTATTTACAACTGCAGTGAAAACGCGAGAATGGCTTTGCTTGTTTTAGACCTGCCACCAGGAATGACTAGTTGACATGGCATCAAGAAAGACCAATTGCTAGAAAATGACATGGTTGGTAAAAGTGAGTAGACTCACATTAACAGCCACAATCAACTCAAACATTATGAACAGGACCAGGCATTAGACATAATGTTGCTTTTGAGCCTGGCCGACTTCAGCATCTGACGGCAACATAATTTATTTACTTACCAAGTTGAAAGCAGGACGACATTCAGAGCATCATTGCCTTGTATTGCCTTGTAGAGTACAAGAGTAGGAATTTGTTCATAATTGAACTTCTACTACTTCATGGTCACTCAGTCGTTGTTATTTCACATCACTTTTTATAAGCATTTTATCACACATAGTGTTATAAAGATTGGGTTTTGTGATGTCGTGGTTTGAATTGTGTCAGCTTGCCTGGGCCATGATTTTTAGTGGTTTGAGAGTTATGTAATCAGTTTACTGGTTTGGGAGTCCAAGGTTGTAAGGGGATTAGGGTGGGGTGCAGCACCCTTAATAAGCTTCCATCCAAGGTACAGAGACTTTCTCTGAGGTGTGGCCTCCTGTATCAACTTTATCTTACAAGAGAAATGGAGAGAGAAGGGAGCAGAGAGATGGAGGAGCCTTACTACCATGAAAAAGGCCATGAGCAGAGTGCATTCTTTGGACCTAGGGTCTTTGTGTCGAGAACCTCCTAGACCCAGGGGATTGGTGGTAAGGCATGGAGATTTATGGAATGCAACTCCCACAGATATTGAAAGGAGACAAGGGCCTTCCCTTAGAGGTGACAAAAAGCCTTCCCCTAAAACTGGTGTCCTAGGCCTGTACTTCTACCTACCTCAAGCGTAAGAGAGTAAATGTGCGTTAAAGCTACCCACTTGGGATATTTCTGTTATAGATAACCAAGGCAGATGTGAAGTAGAGTTATATGGATGATTTTAGTATTGTACTTATGATGTTCCCGTCTAAGTTGGCATCTAAGTGAAGACCACGAGGCAAAATTTTAAGTTATTGTCAACACAGACACATAGCTGTCCCCAAAGATAGTATTTTTGGATATGGATACCATATGTATGTTAAGCATACAGCTGAAGTCAAACCAAATCATAGGTGACTATCTGCCCTTCTATTGCATCTGCTGCTTTGTGGCACTTGAAGGGAATATGGCTTTCAAACTGCTCTTAAAGCCGCAGCTTTCTCAAGAGTACTTTCTATTAGAGTAACTCTGCTTTTATGAACGGAGGAGGAAGGACATGAGGATTGTAGGGATAAAAAGTTTTTAAAAGAGATTTTACTGAAAAATTATTTTAATTAAAAAAAAAACCCAACTGATAAAATCCAGTCTCATTTGCCACTGTGAAGCCACTTGAAATAATATCTTGACTATGCTATAAATTATATGAGAGAATCTCACTTCAACCTGAGCACATTTCTGTCTGCTTAATAAAATAGGCATCACCTGGTGAATTTAAAGTCACTATTTATTTTATTGATTATTCTTCAAATTGGAGAACTACAGTGTAAATAGAAACATGATTTATCTTCTACAATATCAAAGACATCATAAAAAATCATGAGAAGAGACACCAATTGATTTTGGAAAAAGGAAGAAATTAAATAGAAACATGAATTCCAAATTATCACCAAAGCATAGTGGAGTGGTGGTGGTAACAGTACTGCTTCTTGACTTCACAGAAGACTTACAACATGTTGACTAATGCTCACCACTTAAAGACGTGTGACACAGAGAACTTCTATACTGTGGGCTTCCAGAGGGCAAAGACTATAGACTCACCTTTGAATACTCAAATTCTCACACAGTAATTGATACAATAGAAGGCTGTTCAATAAGTGTTGCTGTGAGTTTGTGGTAATTCATCTATTAGACAATGTTATTGTTCAAGAGTATCCTCAGACATTAGAAAGGTTAATTTGAAAAGCCCAGGAAGTAACTGTTTCAGTGTTACTTTCCCACTTCATACAAATGGACAAGGAAGATATGTTGTTGGAGCAACACCAAAATGATCTACCCGTGTAGCGAAATTACATAACAAATGCTATCTCTTCAAATGTAAGATAATCCTATTCAATTTTGGTAGAAGTTTTTCAAGTATATCAAATATACCCCAAGCATATACAATATACCTCTACTTTCACAAACATGATAATGAATATAATGTAACCGTTTTTTCAATGATTTAAACTTCTCATTGTAACCTACCTACTGCCATTGGGCTGATTCCAATGCAAAACAACCCTATAGGACAGAGTAGAGCTGTCTCTTTGGTTATAAATCTTTACAGGAGTAGAAAGGCTCCTATTTCTCCCATGGAGGAACTGGTGGGTTTAAACCACTGACCGTGTGGTTAGCAGCCCAACTTATAAGCCACTGCACCACCACGGCTCCATCATCATCATAAACATCCATTATTGTACAAAATCAACATTGCTTTGACTCTCTCACCTGGAATGTGTCCGCCCTTGCCTAGCTCCTGGCTCCCTTAATAGTTTTGCTTTTCCCTTTAATATGCCTTCAAAGCATGTTGAATTTCTTCACAATACTTATATTTGCAATTGTCCATGTATTTGTGAGATTATTTAATTACTAAGTCTCCCATACTAGAATGTAAGGGCTATGAGGTTTTTCTTGTACCATGACCAGGTTCGTTCACCATTATATCTATCCATAGTGGTGCCTGGTTTATAGCAGGTGCTCAGACAATACTAACTGAATAACTAAATAAATTAAATGCCTACCTCAGTGCATAACCCCTCTTGTGAGTTCCCAAATCTGAGAAAACAGGGAATTAATCTCTCCAAAAACTATGTTAAAAAAGATAAAAGCCCCTACATGAGAATGAGAGCAATTCTCCCATCGTGCACAGAACTGCAGCGTTCTTGTCTTGTACTAACTGCTTGCTGGTACGCCTTTTCCCTCCTCTGGTGCCTCGAAAAAGAACAAATTGTAATGTCTAAGTGTCACTTAATAGCCATGAGATCTTGGGCACTTTAACTCAATTTACTCCTCTGTAAAATGAGGATGATACTAGTCCCTACACCTCATTGCATTACTAAGGATTCAATAAGTTAAATATAAAGTGCTCATGATGCGGCTTGATATATAAAAAGTGTTGCTGTTAGCTGTTATTATTAGTTGCCTGTTACAAGGGTAATAATATGCTATCTCCACAGAGGAAGGAATTGCGGTCCATCACCAGAGTGAATGTACTCTGAGTCACTTCTTCAGGACTGATAAAAGCATTTGCTCAGATCCATCAGTCCATTCAAGCTCCCACATACAAGACCAGTGGTTTGTAGGAATACTTCCTATTTTGGCTTTACGGTAAATTGCTCAGCTTTCACTTAGAATCTATTTCCATTGAAAACATACCTCTCTCTCCAGTTCTACTAGTATCACAGCTGATGAGATGTTAAAGATAGATAGCCCAAGAAGAGGTTACAGAAATTTTAAGAAAGGACAGTCTTGTCTTTTGTCCTTCTATGTCCGGAAATTCCCTTTCCCTTTCACTATTTTAAAGCACATGTAAAATTCTATCTTTGGTTGCCAATTAACTTGAAAAAACAAATAAAATGGTGTACCAATAAAATCAACTATATTTTACAGAAGAAATGTTCACACCTTATTATAAGCTACTGGATTTTTAAATATATACTTCCCATGGCTTTTGTAAATCCACCTTGAGCTTTTAGCTATATAAAAGCCAAAAGGTAATTTTCTTTTAAAAATGATCATTTTCAAAATATTCCCAATGTGCTGAACTTGTTTCTAGTTGCAGAGATACAATTTAAAATGATGCACACTGCAGATGACTATCACTGCTGTAGGCCCAAATATGGTGTTCAGATCGAGAACTCTAAAGAAAGCGGGATTAAAAAAATAACTAAACAAACTCCCCATCTTACTCTAAGGATTCACACTAAAGCTAACCAAAGAGACACCTACCACAACCAGGCAGTTTGTAATAATAAGTAGTAAGATGCAGAGGCTGTTAACCCCACATTTGTTGACAAAGATAGATGACCTTTCCTTTTGGGTAGCTTGAATTGTAGGGTCACAGTTGTAATTGCTGCTGGAAACTGTGGATTGAGGAAGCACTGCTTTGGAGTTTTGCAGCCACTGTATCTTCTTGCACTTTGGTTTTGATGACCTCAGATACTCCATTGCTTCCAAGGATGCAAGGCAAGCTTAAAAACACTTCACTGTTAATGTCATGATATCCCTGAGATGAAAAGGAAAGGTGACAGCAGAGTTGAATCACTGCCCCAAAGGTACGACCACAAACACAGATACGCTATGACTTCCCTAGTCCTAACACAAAGTGTTTTACAAATTGAACTGAAAAGTTTGGTTTTTTTAGGGGGGATGGGGGCATTCTTTTCTAAATTCAAGATACTATTTCCGAAGTTTCTAACAGGCAGAAAGGACTTGATCAAAGATATTTTCTTTGTGAGGAGCTTAACTGGTTAAGAAATTCAGGTGGTCAGTGTGGGTTGGTGGGGATATAGCACATAGTCTCTGGGTGAAGTCAAATAGTACCTATTGGTTTTGTTTTGTTTTACAAACAGTACCTGTTTTAACTTCGACTGTGTTGTATTATTCTCCAAGCAAAGTTTCCAAGGACATTTAGTTAAACATTGAGCCTCCTTTGAACTGTGCTTTGCTGCTGTGTGCTCTTGAGTTGAATCTGGCTCATGGAAACCCCACAGAACAAAGTCGGGCTGCCCATAGGCTTTCCTAGGTTGTAATGTTTATGGGAGGCCATCTCCAGATCTTTTCTCTCACCAAGCCGCTGCTGGGTTCAAACCACTGACCTCGTACTTAGCAGTCAAGTACCTAACCATTGAGTTGTCAGTCAGGGCTCCTTTACTTGTACTCTAGGGAATCTGCATTTGAGGTAAAGTGGTAAAGGGAAACCTGAACTCTCTGGGGGCTAGGTGATATGGAAAAATGATGCCGAGAAGTTGCTTACGAAGTGTATAAATACTTCTTCTTTTCACATATGTATACTTCTTGTACATTTTCCAAAATGAGATGGGCCCGGCGGGCAAGTGAAGCCTAGTAGAAGTCTAGAACTTGCCCCAGCCATGCAAGCCAGGGCTAAGACTATACTGCCTCCTGCCTGTGTTATTCTAAACGCTGGTGGCATCGAAGACGGAAATTTTGTGTGAACAGAACTATTGTTGGTTTTATATTAATAATAAAGTTTACAAATATAATGAGAGAATGAGAATAGCAATTACCTTTGCTAAAACTGATACAGAATGCACTTTCTTTTTATTGTTCACAATACTGTCAACCAGGTCAGCTACTGATAGTCCGACAGACCAGGATTTTTGACCTTTTACTCTTAGTATTTCCATGGCTCTAAAAAACAAGCAAAAAAGACTCAGAAAATGCACATTTAGTTTTATGTTTTAAGGAGTTACTCTGTATTTTTAAATCACAAAAATAAGTTATGCAGATATTGTTAAGAAAGCATACAGATAATCTAATAATTATTTATACTCTTAAAGTATCAGATAGCAGTTCCCAGAGAAAAAGTACAGATAGACTAATAACAAGAATATAAAAACAAAACAAAACAAAAAAACAAGAATATCTCCCTACTACTAATCTATAAACATGGATTAAACCATTAAATATTAGTTCTGCTTATCAAAACTGGCAAAGATGGAAAAAAAAAACCACCCAGATAAATAATTCTGGAGAATTGCTAACTGCAAGTCAACACTGAACCTACCAGCTGCTCTGCAGGATGAGGCTTTCTGCTGGACAGAAGGAGAAATATTTGATCTGGAACTTTTTTTCTAGGAATGTAGCCTAGAAAAATATGCTCAAGTATGTACAGATAAGACATACAGGCTTGTTTGTTACATCCTTGTTTAAGGTAGCAAAAATTAGGAAACGACCTATTAAATGGGGACTGGTTAACTAAATCACTACCAAAACTATACAGCTGTTGAGAAGAATAAGGCAGATTTATATGTACAATCTAGAAAGATGTCTAAGATTTGTATGACAGTCTCTTGGTCCATGTACAAGTTCTTCAAGAGCCCAATGAAATGTTCTGGATTTCCCATTATTTGTGCTGTTTTCCATAGCTTGCTATGATCAGTTTCCCTTGACTAGTCAATAAAACACAAGTTAACATCTTTCGGAGAGTCTCTGCTTTCATCCAAGAGCCAGCTGACATCAGAGACCATCAAGCAGAACAGAGGCAGGTGAATCTACAAACCCTGGAACCTGAAGGATTGCTGGATCCTAGAAGCTGAACCAGACAAGGAGAGGTTCCCTCAAGAGCCACACGCTGAATGTGGTTGTGCCCTCCTGAACTCAAAGAGAAGAAACTTCTGTTCTTGAACACTGCTTGTTTGTGTTACAAGCATTGCTGGTGGCAGAGTTGAGCTGTGATCCGCAAGGCTCACAGTTCAAATCCACCAGCCATTCCCTGGGAGAAAGATGGGGCTTTCAACTGCCGTAAACAGTTACAGTCTCGGAAACTCAGAGGCGTGCTGTTTCCTGCCCCAAGGGTCACTGTGAGTTGGCCTCGACTCGATGGCAGTGAGTTTGGTTTGGGTCATCTCTTTGTGTCACAAGAGCACTAAATAACTAAAAAAAAAAAAAAAAAAAGAAATAAGATAGGACGAGTAACATAAACCTGCTATTATAAAAAGAATAATGATAATATGCGTATGCATGTGTGGACGAACTGAATAAAGTCAACAATAGCTGTGTCTGAGGATAGGATTACCCCAGATTTTTTTCACTTTCTACTTAATAGATGTTTCCAGCATATGAAGTTTTATAATAAGCAGATTCCTTTTGTAAACACAAAAAATATATCCATCAAAATGCTTAAGTTTCTTCCTCCTAAAAACTGTGAATGCTGAATTTTACAGAGAATCAGACTAGAATGGATTTCCCACCTAACACCTGCCTCACTAAGCATGAGAACAGTTGTTATATTCCACAAACCATAAACTGAGGCTTAAAAGCCTAACAATCTCCACCACTCGGGCAGGAGGAACAGCTGCTATGGCGGAATATCGAGGGCATGAAAGTATCCAGTATGCAGTGTTCAACTCTGCAGTAGGTAGCGTCCGGCTTCCTGAGCCCAGAATCTTCGAAGGCCTCAGCATAAAGGCAAACGATTCACAGATCTCTGTCTCATCTGAACACACAATCGGGACCAATGCATTTCTAACAGCATAATTCCCAAGTATATTTATGTCTGAATAGTAAGTACTATATTTTAAATAGTATAGACAAATTCTGCACTACATTAAGAACATTTAATCTTCTCAGATGTTGAGATACAGAAGCAGGAAAGACTGTTGACAAATAAGGAAGCTGCTCTGCCCTTTAAATGGACGAGAATGCAGCACTGCTCTCTTCGTACTTTTGTCTATCCTAGTTACTTTTGCTTGCATAAATCTGCCAAGTGCATGCTATGCAAACTGTTCTTAGGTTAGCTATGAAGTATACCATTTTTCATTGGAGAAATGCAAATCTGCACTCAGTATTACCTGTTGGACAGCTGCACCGTGCAGTTATGGCCTGCTGCCTCTTCTTGGCCACTCCATATGGGCACTAAACATGAATGAAAAGTATATTTTTCCAATGAATTTCTTGGGAATAGAAATAATGATAATCTTGCAATCAAAGGTGCCAGCACTGAAGCCTTTCCCCCGACGCTGACTACAGCAGAAGGCCGCAATGCCTGGTCCGGTGCGGTCCTTCACCGCAGCTCTCACGTCTGAGGCCCTTGCGGCACCCACTGCTGGCAATGGATGTGCCGCACCAACTGCCTGGCACAAGAAAAGATGTTGAACCATAACCCCCAAGTCAACTCAAAGACGCCTGCTCTATTCGCTTCCCCCCCCCCACCCCAGTTCAACAAGAGCCCTTAACTATTGTGCTGGCAAGCTTGCTTGCTTCAGCAGGCTGTGTGTAACCAGCTCGCAAGTGCTGCAAGCACTTGGTATTGTTCTTCTGGGAATGGCACAACGGCTAATTTATTTTATCAGAGGAAAATTAATTTGGTCATTTCTTTTGGGCTCGAATTTCCACTACTTGTCACAGAGGCAGGGTCCTGTTTTCTAAGAACATCTGGATTACACATCTCCTCTCCTCTACCATTTAGGTTTCACACCCCTCATAGTTCAAAGCTCTGTGCAGGAGCTGGATATGGACACCATACTTGGATATTATATCAGAAATGACAATAACATTGTAAAGCCTGTCTGATATTCATTTGCTTTCCATTTATGGAAACACAGTCTTTAGTACAAATCTGTAGATAAAACAAAAATATATTCAAACATGCAATATTAGTTTATGTTAAAAATACAAATTTGTTAACTTTCAAAATTAGGCCACTTAAGGACAACCCCTGCGACAAAGGACACCACATGCATTCAGACGCGGCCCTTCCTCTGACTGTGAACTTGAGAGAACAGGATCCATGTTCTTCCTTTGCCACCTCTAGCACATACTCTCTAGCACAGTGCTGGCTACACAGAAGGTGCTACAGAGCTGGCCTTGCACAACTGTACAGTTTGTTTAGTAACAAAGAAAAGCATATGATGCAATAGTGAAGTTGAAAAACATGGGAAAATTTTTTAAAGTTTTCATGTTATGTAAAAAAGTAAAACCCGGACTCATCATATGAAAAAACATACATATGGACAGAAAGTAAGGAATTAAAAAAAAAGTTTTACCTGGGTGAGACAATTTATAGAAGAAACATTTTCTCTTAAAATGTTGGGACATTAAAAAAAATGCTGGGGCATTATTAGTTTAGTCGAAGTATTTTTTCACAAATAAGAAACATTACTACTAAATGAAATACAATCACAGAGCTCTGAAAGAGGAATATAAGTGGTAAGGGGCATTTAATAAAAGGCTCTTTAAAGATATAAACACAAAAATACAAAAATTGTTGAGTTTCTACTGGCATTTGATTTAGCTATGTCAATATCAACGTCTTTATTTTTTCCGGGGTCCTGATTTACAAAAGCCATGAAAAAAGCATGTTTAGGAAGTGAGATGAAGCTTTACAATGTTCACAACTGTGGTGACACAGTCACTAAAAATTTAAGTACGATTAGGTGGACTTAATTGTTTCCTTTTCTCTAGCCCCCGAAACTTCCTTGTAATATACTCTAGTTTAAGGAGCCCTTTCAAATACTGTACCTAACGAATTCTGGGATTTATGTTACTGCCCTCCAAGAACAGCAATTCTATGACCCCACCACTACCACTTTAATGAAGAAGGGCTCTGGGATAATTATTTTCCAGTATATTCAACCAACACCCACACCTTAGGCAAAACTGATGCCCCACACATGATCTAAGACACTGCTCTGAGGTTGGGCCGTTGGGATCCTAACACACCACCTGACGGGTCTCTGAAGTGTGTATATGATTTCACTCAGCGGAAACAGCAGCTCCAAAGCAGATGCATTACTGACCATTTAATTTGGTGTGGCATGATCTGAATGACCCTGGGTAAGAATAAGGTGGTGTCATCATTGGTTCATCGCCAGAAACATCACTTATTGAGAGCTACTATCAGTCACGGGAAGCTCCAGGAGCTTAACATTTGGCAAGGTAAACAAATCTGTAAATATCGAGTAAAGTATACTGGGTTTAATAGTTATAATAGAAGCATGCACTTACTTAAACTGGGGAGTTAGGGAAGGCCTCCTGGGAGAAGTGGCACTCAAGCCCAGTCTTGAAGAATAAGCAGGAGATAGCCAAGTGAATGAGGGTTCAGGGAGAGGAAGCAGCAGGTTCAAAGGCAAGGAGGCATGAGGATGCATGAACCTTTCAGAGTTCTGAGGTTTCAGCATTCTAGCACAGAATGTCTGGCCGAATGGCAGAAGATGAAGCTGGGAAGGGAAGCGAAGCAGGAAAAAGATCCTCAAGGGTATTGGTACTAGTTCCTTCTTCCCTGAAGCTATAGCTCTCCCGTGTCTCTGAAATACATACATACATATACACAGACGTATAAATGTATCCAATTGCTACTCGTACAACTTTGTTTCCCTATCAGTATTTGTTCAATTAAAAAAGTATGGTTTTTTATGTCCTTTGCCAATTTTCTATCTATTAGTGTCTTGCCAATCATAGTCATAACTGCTATCATTCACTGACTATTCATTCTGTGCCAGACACTGTGCTAACAGTTTTAAATCACAACAAGGAGCATAGCTTTGGAGTCAGATCAGGATTCAAATCTCCAATCTGTCCTTACTAAAGTCTGCGTGACTTTGGACAAATCACATAATGTCATTGAGCCAAAAGTTCCCTTATCAATAAACTAGTTGTGTGGAAAATTTAAATGCACTCTACAAAGCATTTAATACAGAGCTTCACATCCAGTAAGAACTCTATAGGAAATAATGAACATTACCATTACTGGGGTGCTGTATCACCTATGAAAAGAAATGAAACCCCTCCCAGAAGAATTTATTTCAAAGGACAGCACTGAATCTGCAGCTCCAGGAGAGGGACATATCTGATCGGAGCACACGGGAGCAGATGACGGGGGAGGAGGAGAGAGTGGAGCACATCCTGGCCCACCAGGACTTGAGGACGATGTTCCCGATTAGAGCAGCCAGTCCACAGAGATGACCACATGGCCGGCCCCACTATGAGACACGACGTCCCTCACTGACCCATAACCCTACAGGGGACAACACCGACGACAGTGTGGGAATTGCGCCCAATCTGATCCCACCACATCGAGGCAAAACACTAAGGGGATGCAACAGAACAGCAAGGGAAC